CAGAGGCCTCCTTCTGCGTGGCTACCTGCCTTAAAGGGTCGGATTAAGCAGCAGCCACCCACCTGCTGCCCTCAGGGGAGATAGAAAGTCATTCCGACTCTTGAATTTAAGTGATCGCTAAGTTGCAGCAGAGGCAATTTAGTGCATGCCAGGGTAGGTCCCATTACCCGCTGCCCTGTGGGACACAGCGCCCTGCAGGCTCCCTCCCTACACAGGTGCCCAGCTCACCCTGCACTGCAGGCTGCACCCACCTGCCTCCTGGGGCCAGGTCTGGCAGCGGAAGCCAAGGGAGGCTGGGGGTGGCCTGGCCCATGGCTGCTGCAGAGTGGGAGCCCAGGGACCCACCACTGGACAGCCAGGAGTTAGCGTACCCTTGCTTTGGTCTGCAGCACATAAGCTACGCCCGCCTCCGGCACTCTTCTGAAACAGCTGCAGCCTACATTTCCCAGCCTCACAGTATGATTACCCCATGTTGTGGTATTTGCACACAAAGGCAGGAAGACGCAGCAGTGGGAGGAGGAATTTCAAGGGCCAATTTGTGCAGGAATGACAAAGCACCGCTGGTCATCACCCCCTCAAGGGAGAGGTTTTCCAAGAACAGCAGAGGCAAGTGCCCAGTTCTCCCCAGCCATCACCAGCTGCTGTGGACACCGTTGAAAGCCTCCTCCAAAAGCAAGCACGTGCAGCCCAACGAGGACGCTCCCTTAGCATCAAGTCACCATGTGCTTTTCTAGGCTCTTCTCCCGCAGAATCTGCCCGGCCTTTGTTTCTGGAAGCTGATTAACTCGTCCCGGACATGCAGTTAGAAGGGGAGCCAGATTTTCCAAGCATCGCTATTCCAGCTGACGCAGAAACCAACCAGTCAAACCACACGCCTGTCACGGGAAGTGAAAAGCAGCACAGTCGTTTAAAGGTGAGCGTCAAAGAAGAGCCTCGGCTCCAAGGAAAACTCCGATGCAGACAAATCCGACCTACATCCCAGCCCCCAAACATACCCGATGTGCTGGTGGGAAAAAATATCAACTCCCTGATGAACCGCGGGCTAAAATTAGAATCCGCTCACCCCTGAAGAGCCACGAGGATAGCCAGAAAGAAAGTAGGTCACAGAACGGCTGGCTAACTTGATTTCCCAGAGCTGCGAGCCGTTGTGTCCTTACGTAACCTCCTCGCTCTCATGGACAGCTTTCCACATCTCATTTGTTTGGCGTATAATCGCGTGGCCCCTATAGCTCGGAAAGGGATGGAGGAGGAAGAGCATATACATGGCCAGGAGCAGGCCGCAGTTCATGAAGACCTATCTGGGTTTGGCAATCGGGACTCGTAGAAGAGAGGATCTCTTTTATTAGACCAACAAGATTTTTGCAAAAAAAAAAAAAAAAAGTCTTTAATTGCAAGCTTTTGGGCACAAACACCCTTCATCGGGCATTGGGGGAAAGATTGAAGAAGTTCTCCTGGGTAGAAATGAAAGTTCGTATTTCATAGGATTTCAGAGAGGAGTCAACTCCTCCGGGCAGTCCGTTCATAGCTGGTATGGAGCCTCTCGCCATCTGTGAGGATCTGTCATGATGCAAATTCCCTTGAAACAAGGCAGGAGAAGGATCTCCAGTTTCAGGCAGTCACAGTTGCTTCCTGCTTGGGGAAAATATGAAGATTTCATTTTTTTTTAATTTTTTTTTTTTTAATCGGCTAAAATTCAATATTGTCCACGTGCCGGGTATCCAGGTTGTAGCCAGACTGGTCTAGAGGAAAAGGCAATCGGGACTCTGATTTCCTTTTATCTGGATTCGAGCACTCGCAATACTTGTGCCTGGATTGAGAAGCAGGAAAAACGGGGTGCATGTCACGGTCTGATGATGCAGGGACACATTCTCATCCCAAACAGCATCCCAACTTGCTCAGCCTTCATGAAACAGCCTGCCCTTGGGCTCTCCCAGTCCTGTATGCTTCCTCAAATGAGCCAGACGCATAATACACCAAATGAAAGTAGGTGTTGCTTCTCCTTTCTCTGACAAAGGACTTTGTGGCCAAATCTGGGAGTCTCTCTGTATCTCAGGACATGAGCAGATGAACAAATACGCCCAGGGGAACGGATGCTGTTTCTCGTGCTAGTGTAATTACACCAAGCTCTGGAGAGGACAGACATGCCCTTCTCCTGTGTTACCTGCACACAGTCGGCTGCTATTACAGGCCTTGCCCGCAGGTGACTGTAGCATCTGGGGATCCTCGTCCAGCTGAACAGCGACGTGCTATGTCCAAACCCATGTCCACATGTACTAGACCAGTGGTTCGCAACGATTTTTGTACCAGGACCCATTTGTAAACATCGATTGCCCGTCCTGGCCCACTGCCCCCTTTCCCCAGCTCCCCAGTGTGGGGCCCGGGGTGGGTGTATGGGGGGTCCCAAGCAGCCCCTCATAGGCTGGGATACTGCCGGCCTGCAAGGGAAGAGCCACCGTTTCCCAGCAGAATCCATTTTTAAAGTGCGTTTGTGACCCTGTCATATATTCCTGCAACCCACTTTTGGGTCGTGACCCACGAATGGAGAAACTCAAGTGCCAAATTGCAAGTCCCACTGGATCCGCAGCTATTCACGTTCTCCCGTGGAGACAACACTGCGCACCCCGCAGCACCAATGCCTGATCTCCATTCGCGCCACTAGTCTGCTGTTTATTTTAAGCAAAAAAAGGGACGATGGTCTCATTCAAAACCTCTATCCCGGGATCAGCTCGTTGAAGCCAGCTTTCATGTTAATCTGAACGGGATCCCCAAAAGAAGAAGAGGGGCAGCACTGCGGTTCTGAATCTCCCTTCCCAGCCCTGATGTTTCCTATACCAACAGAGCCATCCGTAGAAGAAGCAGTGCATTCCTCCCTTAGTCATCTGGGGTCAGCTTTGACCTCCCTTTGGTCAGCACCCACCCGGAGCAAACACGTGCTATTGTGACCGTAACAGCAAAACCAGAGCCAGGTTTTGACTGTTAACCAGCATTAGCTGTATTACTGGGAATGCATTCAAGAACATGGATAAACTGAAGCCGCAGACATTAAAAACTGAACCTGCTGTGCTCAGCTGCTTCCAGAATTCCTCATAGCCGTTTGCTTTCAACTCGAGCGTCTTTCATATTCTTTTCGGCACTATCCACGGGGTGGCTTGGGCACCCCGGGAGCGCCAAGCACAGTGGAGGGGCCGTCCGGTCTTTCACAGCTGTTTATATCGCAGGGCCCTGGGACTCTTCCAAGAGATGACACTACCCCCTGGATGAACTGGCTCTGCCTTTGCCTGCTCCTCCAGCTGCAAAAATCCTACGACTCCATTTAATAACATCCGCTGTGCACCAGCAAATGCACAGAAGAAATGGCCTTAAGCGTCAGAACAAGATACCTGGCCCCTTGGAGATGTGACATCTTCCAACATTCCCTCCACTGCTTTCAGTACCCACTTCTGAAATCTTTAGCCCATCATCTCAAGATCAAATGAAGCACATCTCCAGCTATCAGGCTGTGACACAAACCCAAGGAGTCAGCCCACGGAGCTCTCCAGCTACGCTTCACCCACCAACTCCTTCCCTGAAAAAGGGGCTTTAAAAAAAGTCTCCAAACAATGCATGCAGAGAGACAAAAAAGTTTACGCCTCTGAGCAACAGGATGATGGATGGTCCTTCTCCTTGTCTTCCCACCTCCTGCTGTTGTCTAACCTAGTGTGCAAGCAACTTGGGCCAAGATCCTCAGAGATCATTAACGAACTGGAGATGACTTACAAGCAGGCTGACCTTCAGTGTGCTTAGCATCTGCCCCTGCAACCCAGGGTCTTTAACAGTCTCTCAAACTGGGCCCTCACACTACTGTATTTAAAAACCTTGGCCCCTGTCTTTTTTTGATTTCCCCCAAATGACACGCATGCCGGTAGTTTTGCAGAAGTGAAAAAGAATAATAGCAGCAGCCAAAGTAATTGCATTGCCTCCGAGGAGTGCCCAGGGTATGTAATCTTTAAAAGTCAGGCACCTGGAATTCTGCAGCTCTCAGTGAATTCAAAGGACTTGCAATTCAAAATAATTAGCAACTAGTAACTTTCCTTTTATGCAAAATCATCCATTTAATCCAACACCCAAATGAAAATGAATGTGCTCGATTATCTACCAAAAGACCCAATTTTTCTAATGTCAGTGCAAAGCACCCAGCAAGATTCATGTCTCCATTGGCCCTCTATTACAGTCAGTGCCCCTGCTTAATGAATGAGCGGTCGGGACAGACTTGCACTGTGTTGGCGGTTACAGCACAGCTCTTATCAACACTTCAGCCCATGCTAAACCTCCACAAATCCAGCGTGGGTTGCATTATTCAGGCTTTTACGCCTCTGGCCCCACAGGAAGCACAAAGCATAGATAACATGGTGCTTTTAAGCTGCTTTTCAACCCCAGTGCATGAACACATGAACGTGTCGCCACCTATGGAAGTGATCCACAGCATATCTGCTGCTCTGCGGTAACTGCCTGTATAGACGCTCTGATCCAGTGGCAAGCGGACCCTTAGCCCTCAAAGGAAGCGACATCCTGTGCTCCCACTGTACTGTGAAGTCCAAGGACCAGACTTACACCAGGAAAGCGCTGGGTTGAGTGGAGTCTGTCGGTGGATTGCACATGGCTAAATGGGGGACATCCAGCCTCCACGGCCGTGCCAGGGAGCACTTGCCCATGGCTGTGCCAGGCAGCACTTGCCCAGGTAACAAGCACCTCAACCACGTGATAGTGCAGCACCTAAAACTGTGCTCCGGCTGCTCCGGAAAGGGTCCCCCAGCCTTCTCTCTCTTGCAATGTGCACAAGAGCTCACGCAACAGGTAAGCCCTTCACGCCTGCAGGCTGCAAACAGAAATCCAGTTCTTCACCCTCGCCCCTGCAGGTCTTTTCCCGACGGCTGCGAGTGAAGCACAAAGCCGGTCGCCAGGGCACAGCTGCCCCCAGCGCCTCAGTCACGTCAGCAAGAGCCGAACAGCAAGTGACTTACCCTGTTCTCGTCATAGATGATCTGCACTAAGCTGCGGTGTTTGGACTCGATTGGTGGGGGCGAGATAGGTTTCTCCGGCTCTGGCGGCTTGGCCGCTTCCTCCTCCAACTGTTGCTGTGAAAGGTTGAAAAGAAAAAAGAGGGGGTGGGAGGGGAGGAAGAAGAGTGAATGGTTAAAAATAAATGAAAAGAAAACACTCAGGCCAGATGAGACTCTCTCCAAAGCTATGACTGATATAGAAAACATAACTGTAAACCACTTCCTGTGAGACATCGGCAAGACAAGGGAGCTAATTGAAGGGGCCGACACAGAACAACTCTTAAAAGCCCCGAGAGAGAAGCGACATACCATGAATTCATCCAACCCTTCCTAGAAGTTTCTAGGCTGGTATTTTGTGGCCACAAAACAGCGGGAAAGCGGCCGTCTTGGTTTGGCCTGGCAGATCCCAACTAGAGCTCTCCCAAATTAAAAACAACCAAACAAAACAATAAAAGAGTTAATTGAAAATCCCCAGGAAACACACACGAGCGGTCATGAGCTGCTCTCTTTGCTATTCTCCTGGTTGACGGCAAGCCGCTGGGCCGGGGCTACAGGATGACTGTGCTCTTCGGGGGGGTTGAGAGGCCTTCCAAGAGCTATGGCGTGGGCTGCTGCCCAGATGAGTAACAGCACCAGCCACAGAGCGGTGCGAGATAGGATGCCATGTGCGGACGAGACAGAAATTGGGCGGGTGGGGAGGATGTGGTTGCAGTCAGAACAGCCGGGTTCAGCACGAAAGCAGAAGTGTCAGCTCACCAATTAATAGCCTGACCGGCGCTGCATGGGCGTGAGCTGCAGCCACCGTGGGAGAGGCAGGGCAGGGCGTAGGGCGAAACTCAGTGCAGGAGGTGGGTCAATGTAAGGGATCCCATAGGGAAGCCCTTCCTGCAGGTGGAGAGACAGACATAGGTCCTGGAATGAGGAGAAAGGGCAGAGGCCAGGGACGGTGGGGACAGCAAAGCTACTGAGATCAATTTAACTCTTGTATTTATTACCTTGTACCTTGTATTTATTACCTATTTAGCCCTTGTATTGATTACCTACTACTAAGGAGCCCAGAGACCTGTGGCCAGGTGCAAACCATCGCCAACTTGGGGCCGCGTCTCCTGGCTTGAAAGGCCCCACACACCTCCTGTAACACGAGCGCCGCATGCAATTCCCACGGCATCGAGCTGGCTCAGAGGAAGGGCCTGGAGGGCAGCAGCGCCCAGCAGGGTGTGGACGTGCCAATGCCCTCCCTACCGTGACAGTTCAAGTCCCATTTTCTGCCTTAAAAATAATTAATAAAAAATGGGTGGCAACTGAATGCCAACCAGCCCAAGGCTGAAACATGCTGATGTGTGCCCATCTACCCACTGGGGCAGCCTCCAGCCCAGACACCCCTGCTCCCGGGAGGGATCGCAGGGCGCCAGGAGCCGCGTGTAGCTCCCTGCTCTGTGACATGGATATAAAGGGTGAGTGGGCAGCTTCAATCTGCAGCTTCCTCGGTGATGAGTCAGAGCATCGCCTTGGCTGCAAAGCAGAAGTGCCCCGGCTCTGGGTTGCCAACAGCTGCCTGGGCCACTGGCCAGGAGGCCCAGAACAGCACAACACTTCCCAGACGGTTTTCTTTCCTCTGACGGACAGCAAAGTGAACAGACCCCTGCTACTGCCTTGGAGGCAAATCCTCCAGGGACACGGAGAGAGGGGGGAGCCCAGCGACTACGGCAAACCTGCCCCGAGTGCAGGGAAAGGCAGAGCAGCCCTGGGACCGCACTGTCAGGACTCTGCAGGCAGCCCGCGGGCTCCCAGCAGCGTGGCCGTGATGCACATCTGCTGTGGAGCTGGCTGCAAAACGTTTCACCCAGGGACAGGGGTCAGGTCAGGTCAGGTGTGAAAAAAAAAATAAATAAGGGACCAGATCGGCAAGGCAAAGGGAAGGGAGATGAGGACACAGGCGGGAGGGTGACAGCGCAGCGGAGGGAGGGGGCCCGATGCTGTCACCAATGCGGTCGCTGAAAACAACCTTGACCTGGAGCGCTGAGCACTATCAAACGTGCAGCTCCAGCCTCGTTTCCCCTCAGATTTCAGCCGCTGGCAGAGCTGCAATAACGCAAACCCCCTTCAAGCCAGCAAACTGTGCCGTGTCTGTAGAAACCAGTGCTACACGATGGGTCGGCATAGGTGCGACACCGTGTGTACATGTATGTGTATGCGTGTGTGCGCACACACGGGGACACACCCACAGGCAGGTGCCTTTACAAATGTTAGTGCATCTGCCACGGCCCGAGAAGCCTGGGTGAATTACAACAGCTTCATTTTTAAAGGGGCATTTTATAGTATTCCCCATATCCAGGCAATGCATTTTACATGCATTCTGCACCCGGAGTTACAATCACCCTCACAGCTGCTGCAAAGTCTGGAGGCATGGCTGAGCCCATTTAATACACTCACACAAACGAAAGAAGAAATGAGAAGGAGATCTTCCAGGCTACAGTTTGAGAAGGAAAGCGCGCAAGGCCCGTGTGGTTTGCCAGGTGAAGTGAAGTAGCAGAGAAGGAGGCTGGAAGCTGCAAAGAGACTTTTCCTCCCCTCCTTGCTTCTGGCATCTCCCGAATCCCGACCGTCTCCACCGCCGGGAACTGCAAAAGCATTCTGCAGCAAAGCAACGGAAAAATCCGAACGCTTCGTTCCCTAGGCTGGTCCGCTTGAGGAAATGCAGCCTGAAGTCAGCGACCTGCTTCCCCGGGGAGGGAGCGTATGGGCTCCACCCTGCAAGCAGCGGTGCCTGGGGCCGGAGGAAAGGGCTGGCAACTATTAGCTTTTGGGTGTTATTCCCGCCTTTTTCAGCGATCAGCCTCAGCCCCACGTTGTACTTAGGATCCGATCCAACAAAGCACTTAAGAATTGGAGCAGGCCCATCAGCTTCAACAACAGGATTACTCACAGGCTTCAAATGAAGCGCATGCTTAAAGGGATGAGACCTCTGGCAGCGTGCAACCGCATTCACTTGTTCCATGACGCTCCGCTGGGCATCACCCTCTCCCCTCTCCCCTTTGACGGCAAGAGAAAACGGACGGTTTGAGAACTAGGTGACTTGACCAAGGCTGCAGAGCGAGTCAGTGACTCAGGTCTCCATCTACTCCAAGCCTGATTCTTTCACCTGGCAACCCCAAACAAGTCATTTAATCGCCCAAGGCCATGCCTACGTGCGGCTGGGCAATGATAGCTGAAACGCCTCTGGCGCAGATATACGAAGTGAAGCGCAGCTGGGATTTACGGACTCGAAAGGAGCTTCCGAAAGCTGAGGGCCTCTTCTGAAACATCTCCCCCGCCTCCTGGGGACTAATGGCGCGCTTTGGGGGTTGGTTCGATCACAGCCTCTTTCAAACAGAGCTGGGCTCAAGCAGCCCAGCCCTGCTCCGGATCAGAAGTGCCCCAAGGTCGAGGCGTTTCAGTCCAGGGCCCCGCGCTGCTTTTATTAAGCGCAAGTAAATGTGCACGCTCTATTCAGACGAGCAAGGATGGCCCCTGCCCTCCGCACGAATCCCAGCCACAAAGGACTGGAAACAAAAGAGCCGCAGATTATGAGAAAGCTCGTACCTACCAGGGAGACAATTTGGGTAGAAGCCAGCAGCGAGGCTAAAGTGATTTGGTAACCCACAAAGACTGTGCAAAGTGGTTGAGTCTGCTCTAATTGATTTAAGACCGAGGATTTGATGGCACATCAGGAAATGAAAGTTTGCCTGTAAGTGCAGGCTCATTAAAAACAGCTCATTAAAGGAAAAGTGGGGGGAACCCCCCCCCCCCCCCAATCTAATTATAGCTGAAATATGGTGGAGAATTAGTCTCTAACTTTCCATGGTGTAATACTGTACCGTCATTCGAGGGGCGGCTGCGCCCAACAGCGCGTGGACCAGGCGCACCCGTTCAGAGCTCGCTGAGATTACACGCCGACCCCCAGCAGGTCCAGCCAGCGACAGCTGCCCTTGGACTTTGCGGGAAATGGCAAGGCAAAGTAGGTCAAGGTTCCCCGACAAGAGCAACGGTGGTTTCTTAAAGGTCTGCCACAAAAGGCAGGCCAGGACTGTGACCTTTATAACCGGAAAGCCAGGATGAGTCTTGACAATTATGCGTCTGCCCCTTCCCCCAGCCCCCGTCAAGCATCGCCTGCAACTTCTCTCTTCTTCCACGAGGAAAATCCTACTGCAATTATGGCCGGGCCAGACAGAGCGAAGGGATCAGCTTCCCTCGCATCCAGAGGGCAACGCGGTCCTACGTGGAGGCATCGTCCCTTTCCCAAGCGCAAGAATTGAGCAGGGAATTAATCATCGTTAACCCGGGACTGCGCGCGGCCGTAAAGAGAGATCACTAGGACTGCGTGCACAAATGATGGCCTGCCGCAGCCTTGGCTATGCCTGGCTTCTTGGGCTTTTTATGACCTAGTCGAATCTATGGAGAGGTTGCTCCCCCGTGCACAGAGTGACAGCATTTCGGGGAGCCGACTGTCCACACGTAATCCGCTGGCCAAAATCCCCGAGGGTTACTCTGTGTGCATCGGGCCGTGAGAATTTAGCAAGCGGAAAGAAAGAGGGATGCTAGTTGAGAAACTCCTCCTTCTAGGGAAAAAAAGAGACTGAGAAAAAGCAATGCTCTCGGTCAATCAGAAGGGGGAAAGAATTGCTGTTACAAGGGCTTGCACGCACATGGGAAATAGGCTGAAGGGCTGCAGGGCTTGCCCCCTGGCATGGCAGTGCTAAGGGCAACCCCTGGCTCCACCTTCACCAGCAGGTGCCAGTGTTGGACTCCGGGAAAGCATCCGGGAGAGCTTTGATGAGATGCAAAAAGCAGAAAATTTCCGGGTTTGGTTTTGTTACTGGCCCAGATTCCTGGAGCTGCTGCCAGGAATAAGTACGAGAAGATTATCCTCCCTTGGTCCGAAGGAGGAGCGGGAGGCAGAAACACAGGAGAGATGTCACCCGCGTGGGAAAGCAGCCGCGCGTGGGCACGGTGGGTGACAGCTGGACAAAGAAATCCACCGCCGGGGGAAAGACTCCCGAGTTGCTACGGGCTTTGCTTCCTCGGGCGAGCGCACGGCCGGTCCTGGAGTTCCCAAGGAGACACTGTTGCCTCTTTTAAGTCATTCTATTTATTTTGGCATCCACGCGTTTCGTCCTCTCTAGGAGGTCTCCCAAGGACAGAGGAGGAATGCAGCGGGATGTTACGGCCGCTACAATCCTGCCTCCGCTCCGCCGGGCGCTGGAGGAGAGGCGGTATCTGTTGCGTATTTATTGTTTTCTCTCCCCCGTGTTCTGCAGAAGCAGACGGCTCGGAGGCACAGATGGACACAATGTTCTCGGAGCGTGTCAGACGGAAACCCTCTTCCCCCCCTCCATCCTCCCTTCGCACGTTTTCTCTTGCACTTCAGCAAAATTGGCTGATTTTGCACAGAACCTCCCCGAAGGATCTGGGGGCCGCAGCGGCCAGGGGAAGCCAAGGGAGATCCCTAACAGTGCATGCAGCACAGATAAGCATCCTTGGTACCACGGATGCAGGAGACAGAAGTGGGGAGGGGGAGACTTGGAGCTACTTTCACCTTCTCTTCGTCGATGGGAGGATTTACGAAACAAAAGCCCATCGGAAGGAATGAAACAGGCCAGCAACAAAAGGCTGTTCTTGAGAGAAGGGCGGCTTTGTTTTAAAAGGTGCCCTGAGCAGATGCTGCTCCCACGGGCTTCAACTGGGTGGGTGCTCAGCCCTTTTTGGGGGGTGGGAGTTGAATTATGGCATTACAGCCCCCCACAGAGACTGGGCAGTAACCCCTCAACTGCTCGGGCAGCTCTCTTTCCTCCAGCTCCCGAGATGTCCTGGCTTTCCTTTTTTTAGCATCCCTCCTCGGTGTAACCAAAGACCGACCCTGCACTAAAAGGCCAGCCAGGCTCTACAGTCACGCTTCACTCGTGACCTGGCTTGTATGTCCTCAGTCAAGCCAGCTGCTCGGCTAGCAACGCAGTCCTATATAAGGTGAAGTCCCCGGTTCTCTAGAGCAAAATGCAAGTAGGGG